CCGCCCCCCATCAATAAAAATAGTTAACTATCTGAGCCTCTGCCCACTCAAACAAAAATCCTGGCTACGCTCATGCCTGGTAGACAAGGACTTAGGTGTCCATGAGGTCTTTTTCAGTTTGCATAAAGCTTTTACAACAGTAGGCACATAAGGACTTACCCATTAACTCTGGTTAAGGGAGGCTCATTGAAGATGTTTAGTTTCAATACAGGAGATGCTAGCGGATATGACCCCACTAATATGGTAGTCTCCTCGCCTGTACCAATTCAAGGGTTGCATTGGGATCCCTTATCAAAGTCAATGGACATTTTGAGCTCAGCATCTCTGGTGTTGCTTCAGGTAGTAGCAACAGGAACAGCAGAAGCGTGACTTATTATATGCTTGCCTTTAACCCCAACCTCCTTCTTGAGTGCTATCAGCTACACAGCCAGCAGATTAGCAGCAGTCAACTTCTGCTTGTAAGACCCAGGCTGCAGTGACTTAATCACAGGGAACATGCCTGGAGTACATGGCTTGAGAGCCAAAGAGGATTCAATTCAGCCCCATGTGGGCAGCATAACCCCACCCCACCCTCAGTGGCACAGTGGAGAAGTATTTATGTACCAGTCTCTTCTGGCTGAGTCTGATGAAGTTACATCATGCTGTTGTTCAATGTTGAACTCAAATATGATTTTATTCCTCTTGAGCCTTGGCAAGATGATGACAAAGAAATCACCACTGTTTTTAATAATTACATTTCCCTCACACATTGCTGCCTTCATGGCTCCAGGTGTAGAGCTGAAGAAAAGCATAATAGAGCCATAGAATCGTAGAACTGGAAGGCACCTCAAGCATCATCTAGTCCAACCCCCAGCAATTCAGGAATCTCAGTTAAGCATCCATGACAGTAAGCCATCCAACCTCTGCTTAAATACCTCCAAGAAAGGAGAGTCCACAACATCCTGAGGGAATTCATTCCACTTTCGAACAGTTCTTACCATCGGAAAGTTCTTCCCAGTGTTTAGTCTGAATCATCTTTCTTGTAACTTGAATCCATCGTTTCAGGACGTACCCTCCAGAGCAGGAAAAACAAAGCTTCCTCCATCTTTTATGCAACAGCCCTTTAGATAGTTGAAGAATTTGCCACTGCAATGTGCTTCTACATTGTGGCATGGGTCAGAGAGAGGAAGGGGAGGTTGCCTTGACCTTACCAGCATTGCTCCCAACTTTTCCAGCTACAATCTAAGGTCACTGAATGTCCTTGGAGATGCTGACCTGAAGCAGACATCTTCTTTTTTAAAAAAAAATAATTTTTATTAAAGTTTTAAACAACAAAAAGAACAACACACACAAAAAGCAATACAAAACTCAACAATAAAAAAACAAAAGAAAACGTAACAATTAAAAACAAACTCTCTTTTCCATTCCATTTTTAGATTACTTATTTTCTGGACTTCCTCATACCTCCCTCTTTTGTATTCCCATCTAAATTATTTGTCCAGCAGTTTCTTTTCCACCTTTTTAATCCCAATCTTTAGTTTAATAAAATACTAAAATATATAACTTCAACTTCTTTAAACCTAATTCTTAATCTTAGTATCATATAACGTTATAATTTTCCGTTTTCATATCAAATTTCCATTTCTTTAAACATCTTTAATCTTGATCTTTAATCTTAGTCTATCATTAACTTTAACCTATGTAGCTGGAAGCCACTTATTTTCAGTCTGAAGCAGACATCTTCTGGGTTTCAGAGCACCTACATACAACTTCATCTTGGCCATATAGAATCATAGAATTGTAGAGTTGTTGGAAACCTCCAGGGTCATCTAGTCAAACTCCCTGCAATGCAGGCGTCTCAACTAAAGTATCCATGACAGATAGCCACCCAAGCTCTGCTTAAAACCCTCCAAGAAAGGACAGTCCACAGTCTCCTGAGGGAAATGGTTCCATTGTCGAACACCTCTTACTGCCAAAGTTTCCCCTGATGCTTAGTCAGAATCTCCTTTCTTGTAACTTGAAGTCATTGGTTCAAGTTCCATGCTCCAGAGCAGGAGAAAACTAATTTGTTCCCTCTTCCATGTGAGAGCCCTTAAGATATTTGAAGATGACTATCATATCTTCTCTCAGTCTCCTCTTTTCCTAGTTAAAGATACTCAACTCTCTCCACCATTCTTCATAAGGCTTGGTTTCCAGACCCATTATCACCTTGGTTGCCCTCCATTCCACAGGTTCCAACTTGTCAACATGCTTCTTAAATTGTGATGCTCAGAACTGGACACAGTATTTCAGGTGTGGTCTGACCAATGCAGCATAGAGTGGTACTTTTACTTCCCTTAATCTGGGCACTATACATCTGTTGATGCAGCCTAAAATAGCATTAGCTTTTTCTTGCTGTTGCACCACACTGTTGACTCATGTTAAGCTTGTGGCCCACTAAGATCCCTAAATCCTTTTCACATGAACTGCTAGTAAGCCAGGTGTCCCCCATCCTATATTTGTGCGTCTGGCCCTTCCTGCCTAAGTGCAGAACATTTCAGAACCTAAGTGCAGGTTCTCTAACACCCACCCTCCTTGTTTACACACACACACACACACACACACACACACACACAGCCCTTCTAGTCTGCTTTTAACACACATACCCTTGTGTGTGCACATTTTTTTGGTTGAAAGGGAATCTCAGTGTTGTAAAAATTCACCTCCACACCACCTTGTTTGTTACCCAGGTGAGGAACCTTTTGAATAAACCACAGAACCAAGGAAACTATTTCCAAGTCCAGCATCCGGATTTGGGAACCCAGCGTTTATTATAGCTATTGCAATAGGACAGAGCTCACTCAACTCAACGTGCCAGTTGAGAACGTCTGCCTCGAGGCACTTCAGAAGAAAAGCTCATATAGTAGTTCAAACACAGCAAATAATCATTAAAAAATCTTCACATAGATCAGGAAAGGTTACAGGTCATGAGCAGTAAAGCACACATGGCTCCATCCTGGTATCTTCACCCCCACATCACCTTGGAGTGATCCTCGTGTGCCCAGGCTATTGGACCATTTTATGTCTTGGGTGTCTGGCATTATCCTGGCAACCTAGCCTTCAGTGAGGGAAGAGCATGATAAAATCCTCTTCCTGGGTCTCAGATAGCTTCGGGGATAGCTGAGTTACACTCTGGTGCTAAAACATCCTGCCATTTGTACCACGTTCAGAGGCAGATCAGGAGAGAGGAGAGAGCAGAAGAGGAGGGAGGAGACTCACAAGTGCAGAACACACAAAAATCAAGCCTAATGCATTCTAAAATGTTCCAAAATACATTCTGAAAGGTTAAATACAATCAAAGAGAAACATGATTAAAATAAGGTTTTAATGGGGTCTCTAATTCTTGTATCATCAGGGAGGGAGAGGAAGTGAGGGAAAGCAGGATGGGGAGTTTTGGAAGTGCCCTGAGGGGAAGGAGAAGGAGATACACTGGCGGGGGAACAGGAGGGCAGGGGGAGAGCACCACCCCCAGCACCATCGGGGAGGGGGGTACCATCACGCCTGCCCCCAGATATGCGCCGCGCACCCCCCACCGTGACGAGTGCCATGCCCCCACGGGCACCGCACCACGTCCCTAGGATGCACACCACGCCCCTGGAATGCGCGCCAGCCATGCCCCTGCTGCTCTCCGCCCCCAGGCATGTAGCTTCACCACTGAGGAGATAACGCCCAGCTAAGGCAGAAAAGGAGGCAGTTGCTGGTTGCCCAGAATGAGATGGGCTGTGCTGCTGAGCCTTCTATCATAAGAGAAGCCTGCTGGATCAGTCCAGTGTCCCATCTAGTCCAGCACCCTGTTCTCACAGTGGCCAGTTACATAGCCTCCAACATTTCTCAGATGAAAATAGGGACATTTCTCATTTCCACCCCACCCCTGAGCATATCCTATCACCACTAACACCAACAGGGGACACACACACACACACACACACACACACACACACACACACACACACTGTCCTGAGAAAACCTTTAATTCATGTTTTAATTTACTTTATTCTTTGGTAGATTTACAAAAAGGAAAAACACACCCTGATAAATAAATGCCAGAAAGGCACAAGATTAGATGCAGATGCACAAAGCATTTTTAAAAACAAAATCAGGACTCCTTGTGCTCCACTCCTCCACTCCTCCTTTCTTCCTGCCCAGGGTGGCCCTGCCATCTGCCTGCCCCTCAGAGCCAATACAGTGGCAGTCACAGCCACTACCAGCTGACCAAGGGAGGAGGCTGGCAGCAGCAGCCATGGAGAGGTCATGGAAAGGCCATGGGGTGCTCCATTGCAGCAGCCGCCATCGCCATTGCTTGGAAGAAGCCCTGGCTAATCCGCCTCCCCAGGCTCGGCAGCGGCAGCACTGGTGGGAGAAATAAGGACATTCTGGGATCAAATGAGAAGCTGGGTTGCTTTTGTAATTCCAGGACTGTTGTGGGAGTCATAAAGCCACGGCAAAGGCTTGTAATATTGCAGGGTGCCCCCTGACCTCGGCTGACCAGCACTCTGAGCTTTACAATGTATTGGAATGTTTGTGGGTGGGTTAAAGCCTTGACCGGATGAGGTAACGTGAGACATTGGCAAAGGGCCATGCGGCTGGAGAGAGACAAAGGATAATAAAAAAAGTTACCGGAGGAGAGGGAAGTTCGAAAGGAGCTGCTCCTACCATCATGAAAATATTGCTGGCTCTCTGTGTCTTTATTTTATGCTAAACTCCGCCACTTGTAATGGCTGGCTCCGACAAGTGGTGCCCCGTGTGAGGCTGAATAAAAGAATACGTCTGAGGCTTTTAAAAGGAAACCGTGTGAGGCAACTTAAAGAAAACAGTCTGAGGCAGACTAAGAGGATTTTAAAAGGAAACCGTGTGAGGTTTATCGATCCTAGCAAAGGATATCATCTGCTCACCACGCCCGGCCAGGGTTGCATAGCGCTAAATCATCTTAAAAAGATCCCGGTGAGTTTTGATCCCCCTTTTTTTATATTGATTTTAGAAAAATGGGCAGCTCTCTGTCTATTCCCCAACAGAAATTTTTAAAAGACTTAAAATTTCTCCTCTCCTCCAACAAATTGGAAGTTCCGGAGGGTGATTTAATACAGCTCATTCTGGCCATCGAAGAGCATTCCCCCTGGTTTCCTGCAGATGGGACTTGGGAATTAAAACTTTGGGACAAGATTGGGGCACATTTTCATGGGCACCCCAGCATAAGTGTTCGGATTCTTAATGCATGGTGCAAGGTTCGTTACGCCATGGGCTCTTTATCACCAAAAAATATCTCCATGGCTGCATTGCCAACACAACCTTCAGCTTCTTTAATTCAGCCTGCTGTGTTAGCGTCTGTTCCAATACTTGCTTTGCCAGCAGCTCCAGACCCCAAACCTCCGGACTACAGTTCCTCACCTGAGGACCCAATCCTGCAAAAATACCGTGGTCTGACTGGCAATGATCCTGCTCTTTCAGCGGCAGAACCAGAACCAGAACCTTTTCAACGTGCAGTCCTTGCCTGTTCCTTAATTCAGGATACTATGGCATTCCCTGTTATTGTGCCCCCTGCTGGTGCCCCGGCAGGCACCCAAGCCCAACACCAACCTTTTGACTTTAAGATCTTGAGAGAGCTGCAACAGTCAGTAAAGGCCAATGGACTCCAAGCCCCATATACGCAGGCGCTTTTAGAAGCCACATTAGCCCAGCTCTTGGTTCCAGAGGACATCAAGCTTTTGGCCCATACAGTGTTACCCCATCAGCTGGTGTTTTGTTTGCCCACGAATGGGAAACTGCCTGCCATGCTTATGCTCCAGCCTTGTTACAACAAGTCAGAGGAAATAATCCAAATGTTACCCTCGCAGATGTCTTAGATGCCATGTTGGGGCGTGGTCCCTTCGCTCAAGCTTCAGTGCAAGCCACACTGCTGCAAATCTTATTGAGGGACACTGCTCTTGCTGCTAAACAAGCAATGAGAAAAATCCCAGAACCCAGTATTCAATCAAGGTGGGGTTCAATCAGGCAAGAGGCAAGAGAATCATATTCTTCCTTTATGGATAGGCTGCTTACAGCAGTGAGTCGCCAAATTGAAAATCATGAAGCCAAACAAATAATTATCAAACAATTGGCCTTTGAAAATGCCAATGAGGATTGTAAACTTGCGTTACGACCGATAATACACAATCCTGCCACAGACACAGCAGCCATGCTTCGCATTTGTCAGTCTGTCGGAACAGCCAGCCACAAGGCTTATCTGCTGGCAGCAGCGCTAAATGAAAACCAGCCTGTAGCCACCAATACAACTTGTTTCCAGTGTGGCAAACCAGGATCACCGATACCCCAGTGGGGGTAGAACAGTGGCCTCTACCAAAAGAAAAATCCGTAGCAGCGGCACCAGCTATCTCTGACCAGCTTATCTCTGAACAATTGACTTTCGGCCACACTGAACCATCTTCATCCCACTGGCTCCAGCAGACAGGGAACGTTTGCTTTTACATTGCCAGCATATAACAATTCGCAGCCCACCCAGCGATATCAGTGGGTTGTCCTGCCTCAAGGCATGCGGAACTCCCCTACACTTTGTCAACATTTTGTGGGTGAAGCATTGAAACCTTTCCGCATGCGCCACCTAGAGGTGCTGCACACGAGCTGCATCTGGCAGTGTTTGCCTTCCTAACCATTTGCCTTGCCATCCTTTGCTGCACCGTTATACAAGGATCCAGCAAACGACCAGTCCAGTTGAAACCACCATATTTCACCTCATCGGCTGGCAAGCAGCTGTTGTCAGCTTCCTACTCTGGCTGGCAGTATCCACGGCTCAGCCGCTTTCGAACTAGAAGAACAGTGTTGTTGAATAAGACTTTTAGGGGAGAAAATTATCATAAGATATGGAGGGATAATATTTTTGTACAAGATATGATTATGTTTGCCAGTTTATTGCATGCTTCTAAATGTTGGGTGTGTATGCCAGTCATTCAGGCATAATGCTTCATGGTGTGCCTGTCAATGGATCTTTTCAATTTACTAATATTATATCCCCTAAGCAAACTTTTTGGCCTCCAGTACAATTGACCCTCCATGAGCCTCCCCCCATTTGTTTTCAAATTAAGGAGGGGAGAGAATCATGGGGCATATATCCAAACTGTCAATATACATTGAATTTCACTTTTAATAGCTCTTGTTCTCTTACAGGAAGCCTACCATGCAGCTTGGAATCAGAATTTTTATATTCTTGGCTTCCGGATGGAAGTTGGCTTCGACATTTATTGATTTTAGTGATCATTATAGTAGTTATTTGCATTATTTTGTGTTGCTGTATCCAATGTATTCCTTCTTTAATTTCTATATGTACTGCATGGTTCTCCAGTCCGCGGCCCGCTTCCGGTGTCAAAGAGTCGCTTATTGCGCTCGATATAACCGTATTGGTACTGATTAATAAAGTAAAGAAAGAGGGCATGTGGGAGTCATAAAGCCACGGCAAAGGCTTGTAATATTGCAGGGTGCCCCCTGACCTCGGCTGACCAGCACTCTGAGCTTTACAATGTATTGGAATGTTTGTGGGTGGGTTAAAGCCTTGACCGGATGAGGTAACGTGAGACATTGGCAAAGGGCCATGCGGCTGGAGAGAGACAAAGGATAATAAAAAAAGTTACCGGAGGAGAGGGAAGTTCGAAAGGAGCTGCTCCTACCATCATGAAAATATTGCTGGCTCTCTGTCTTTATTTTATGCTAAACTCCGCCACTTGTAACGGCTGGCTCTGACAGACTGTCCCTGTAAAAATGGGAGATTTGGAAAATATGTAGTTAGATCTCTGTGGGAAACTAGCAAGCAGGACATGAGCACAAGAGAACTCTGAAAGTCCCATCGACTGGGATTCAGAGGCATACAGCTACCCTCTCCTCCATGGATTTGTCTATTCTTCTCTTAAAGTCATCCAAGTTGGAGTTCAAATCCCGCTTAGCCATTAAGCTCACTGGGTAACCTTGAGCAGTCACTGCCTCTCAGTGTAACAGGGCTGCCATGAAAATACACTGGGAGGAGAAGACTCATGTATGATTGAACCTGGGACCTTATCCATGCCAAAAAAAAAAAAAGTAAAATGCGTAAATATTCGAGTGTACAGGTGTAACAAATCCGTATTTTGTGACTGTTAATCCTAGTCCGCCCCTCCCTAATATCAAAGTTAATGATCTTAGGTTTACTGGTAGGGCAGAGAAGGTGGGGTCACCTACAAAAAAAGGAGAGGAGGATGGGCAGCCCCATCCGGCCATCCATGGGGTGCAGATATTTGATAGTTCAAATATTCATTAACAAATTATATCTCTACGGATTCTCTACAAAGGTGTTTCTTTAGCAAGTTTTGTCAAGTGTCAGGCTATGGGACACAGTGGCGATTTCTCACAAACATGTTTTTCCTCAAGTTCTGCTCCTGCTCATTGATCAATCCAGGAGATTACAGGAGGAGATGTTTAATTATGTAATTATAGTCTTCTCGCCAAATATCCAGGGATTTCTCTGCAAAGATTGCCTTTGTAACTGATAATGTAAAGTCAGAACCAAGGCCAAAATGAAAAAGTAACTTCTCAAGAACTCATCAGAGGTGCTCTACTTCAAGGCCAAAGGCCAGTGTGGTCCAGCATCCCATTTCCCACAGTGGCCAAATAGATGAAGCAAATTTATCTAGACCAGGCATGGGGAACCTGTGGTCCTCCACCTGTTGCTGCACTACAGTTCCCATCATCCCCAGGCCATTGCTCATGCTTGCTGGGGCTGATGGGAGCTGTAGTTCAGCAACACCTGAACATAAGAAGAGCCTGCTGGATCAGGCCAACGGCCCATCAAGCACAGCATCCTGTTCTCACAGTGGCCAACCAGAAGCCTACGGGAAACGCACAAGCAGAGCTCAAGCACAAGAGGCCTCTCACCCTCCTGTGGTTTCCAGCAACTGGTGTTCAGAGACATTGCTGCCTCAACTGTGGAGACAGAGAAGACCCACCGGCAGCCATCAAAAAGGCTTCTTGCTGCTCCATGAAATTGTCTAATCTTCTTTTGAAGCCATCTTGGTCTGATGGCCATCACTGCCTCCTGTGGGAGCGGGTTCTATAGTTTAGCTAAGCAACGACTGGATAAATATTTTCTCTTATCTATTCTGAATCTCCCAACATTCAGTTAGACTGGGAGTTCAAAGGTTCCCCATTCCCAGTCTGGACCCATTGTAGTCTGGCTTTAGACCTGGATAGCAGATTGGGAAAAACCTAGTCACTTTGATCACCATTTTCTGGAGAGGGTTCTGCTCTGTTCATTCTCCAGGACCTATTGGTAGTTAATCATATGAAGGCTGTGTGGGTTGAGAGAAGGCGGCACTGTACTGCAATGGTTCTGTTGACTACCGTATTTTTCGCTCTATAGGACGCACCCGAACATAGGGCGCACCTTGTTTTAGAGGGGGAGAACAAGAAAAAAAAATTCTCCCCCTCTCTGCTCAGCGCCCTTCAGCGAAGCGGCAGGAAAAACGGAGCCCCTTCCATTTCTCCTCCCACTTCGCTGAAGGGGCGCTGCACAGCTCTCCTCTCTGCTGAAGCCAGGAGAGTCTTGCTCTGCGCTTTGGAGGCTTTGCGTTGCTATCGCTGAAGCCAAGGAGCCTGCATTTGCTCTATAGGAGGCACACACATTTCCCTTAATTTTTGGAGGGAAAAGTGCATCCTATAGAGCGAAAAATACGGTATAGGGCTGCTATTGGCCTCCACAGTCACTTACGGACTCATTGTTAAAACCGTGTTTATGGAAGACAATCTTACTCGGTTACGAGTGATCGCCAAAGAAGAAGACCAGAGAGCCGTGCATATTATTATTATTATTACAACCTAAAAACACAGCTATCCAGTTAGAAGGTGGGACTGAGAAATCCTGCCCTACTAAAAGATGCCACAGTGCCGCCTTTCAAATCAAGGGCCAAAAGCCCAGGTAAAAGAATAGTCTTTTCCTGGTGGCTAAAGATAAATAAAGATGGCACCAGGAGATACTCACTGAGGAGAGCATTCCACAGCGGCAAAGGGAAAACTTGAAGAAGACCCTCTGGTGATGATCCGGGGCCTGGGTCTATTCATGTGGGGAGAGGTAGTTCTTGAGGTAGTGGACTCCTGAGCCTCATAAGGCTTTTAAAGTCAAAACTAGCACTTTGAATAGAGCCCGTCAACTAATTGGTAGCCATTGCAGTCATGACAGAATTGGTGTTACATGCTCAGATTGCCCTGCCCTGGTCATCAGTCTGGCCAATGGATTCTGAAACAGTTGATGGAGCTGTGGTCTAAACCACTGAGCCTCTTGGGCTTGTCGATCCCAACATGGACGGTTCAAATCCACACGATGGGTGAGCTCCTGTTGCCAGTGACAAAAAAGAATTCCTAAAATGCTCAACCAACAGCACAGTAATAATAATAAGAAATCCTACCCCATCCCACTAAAAGTTCAGCACCACGGTCACGGCCAGCTTATTTACCAAAGGCCTGTATAGATGGAAGTATCTTAACCTGCCACCTAAAATGGAGAATGATGGCAGTAAGAACATTTGGGGTGGGTAGTATTCCACAGCTTAGCTCCAGAAACAGTCATCCTTCCGGACTTTCATGTAGGGGCCAAATCACAGGGCTGAAACTTAATGAGGTCTGCTAGTCACAAAATGGCAGGTCCGCTGGATGAGCCAGTGACAAAACTGTGGCAGATGAAGGCAGAGTTTGGCATAATCAAGCAGCAATTAATGACTCAGGAACCAGTATTGCGACTCAACCTCCCCATGTTAAGCAGAATCTGTGCATTCAAAAGCACTAAGCGGAAAAGGCTTTTTATTTCATATCACCCGGCATGCCTCACATTTTACTTGTCTACTCTTGTTTTGTCTTCCATCTTCTTTTCACAGCTTGTATCATATTCCTCCAAAAACTTTTATCTTTCTTCCCTACTCATTTTATATTCTTTTTCTTCCTTTCCCCCTCTCTTATTCCTTTTCTCTCTTTTCCCAAGTTGTTGTAATTCTAGATATTAACCCTTTATCACGCACCCTAATTTCCCACAACACATCCTCTTGCCTTTTCCCTCAGACCATACAGATCTCCCTTCCTTCTTTAAACCCTTGTCCTCCTTCAGCCTCTCTGTCTCCTGGACACCTTTATGCCCCTTTAAACTGTCAGTAATGCCCTTGGTCCAACCAAAGAGCTATGTGTGGCCCAGGGGCAGGACGGGTGAGTTAGGAGGCACTGGGTGGGCTGTGGCACTGAGGCCCACTGCTGGACCATGGCCCAGTCTTTCAGAAGTGCTGGGAAAGGTCATGCCAGCCTCCCGTGCCCCTCTCTGACCCATGTCACAAGTAGAACCACAATGCAGTGGGAAGTTCTTCAGATATCTAAAGGGTCGTCACATGGAAGATGAAGCAAGGTTGTTTGCTTCTGCTCTGGAGGGTGGGACCTGAAACAGTGGATCAAGTGACAAGAAAAGAGATTCAGACTAAACTTTAAGAAGAACTTTCTGACAGCTGCTCAACAATGTAAATCTCCTTCAGGGTCCCTTCTCATTCTGCAATTCTATAGCTCTATGATTCGATAGAACATGTATTCCTTCAGGCCTACACCTGGCGCCATAAAGGGAGTTCAACATGGTGCGAGGGCAAATGTAATTATTAAAAATAATGGTGATTTCTTTGTCATCATCTTGCCAAAGCTCAAGAGGAATAAAATCATATTTGCGTCCAACATTGAACAACAACATGATGTAAGTTCATCAGACTCAACCAGAAGAGACTGGTACATAAATACTTCTCCACTTTGCCATTGAGGGTGGGGTGGGGTTATGCTGCCCACATGGGGCTGAAGTGAATCCTCTTTGGCTCTCAAGCCATGTATGCTAGGCATGTTCTCTCTGATTAAGTCGCTGCAGCCTGGGTCTTCCAAGCAGATTTTGACTGCTGGTCATTTGCTAGCTCTGTTGCTGATAGCACTCAAGAAGGAGATTGGAGTAAAAGGCAGGTGCATCATAATTCACCTTCTCCTGTTGCTATTGCTACTACCTGAAGCAACTCCAGAGATGCTGAGCTCAAAATGCCCATTGACTTTGATAAGGGATCCCAATCAACCCTTGAATTGGTACAGGCGAGGAGACTACCATATTAGTGGGATCATATCCGCAGCATCTCCTGTTTTCAAACCAACCGTCTTCAATGAGCCTCCCTTTACCAGAGTTTATGGGTAAGTCCTTATGTGCCTACTGTTGTAAAAGCTTTATGCAAACTGAATGTGACCTCATGGAGACCAAATGTTGTTGTCTCCCGGGCATGTCTCCTCATTTCTGGTACTTTTGCTTGGTCAGTCATGTCTTCTATTTTCGTCCCTTTGGATGCAAATGGTCGGATTTATTCTGAATGTCAGAAATTGATCTACTGCAAACTGTGTGCTTTCCCCCACTCTAGTGAGACATTTGCATTAGAATAGCCCACTCTTCTAAGATTTGGGCAGGAAGGGGTTGTTGGATCTCAGGTGTACAGATGCTGCAGACGCATCTCATGATTTCTGCTCCCCCATCACAGCTAAGGATGACACCATCTGGTCTCTGTGTGAAAAGAATGTCAAGGTAACACACACTTTTTTCCAGGATGGGATTCCTGCCACCCTGGTATACCCTGTCCTTCTTGTTTGCTGTTCGGGAAGTCAACCGGAACCACATGCTTTTCCCCAACCTCACCCTGGGCTATGACATCTATGACAACTATTATGATGCCAGAATGACTTCTGGTGCCCTGGTGGACCTGCTCTGTCCTGGGCAGGCAAACATCCCAAACTATTATTGTGGACCATGGAATAAAGCATTGGCTGTTATCGAAGGGGCTGACTCTGACACATCCAAAGATATTTCCACCATGTCAAGCATCTACAAAACCCCACAGGTATGAATGTCAGGAGGGAAGAAAAAATCCCAGAAAGTTATTGCAATTTCTTTGGAAAGATGTGAAAATGTCGTTCATTATTCTAAGGCAGAAGGAGAATTTGGCCTCAACCACCTCTTAACAAAGATGACTAAGGGGATTCTGGGTTTGTCCACACTTCCTCCCATCCCATGGCTAGAAAGCATGGGTCTGAGTGGCTTTCCATTTAACCTGTGCTTTGTGGGCATGGACCCAGGCCATTTCTTCCTCACCCTACTCCTTTCCCACAGAAAACCCACTCTAAATTGGAAAAGCAATGGAATAAGGGAAGTGTCAATAAGCCCTTAGCTAAATCTACAAGATCCCACAGGTGCAAATGCTGTGTTTTATGGAGAAGGATATTTGAGGAAATTGTCAAAATTAAGGCAGAAGAATGGATTAAGTAATGAAAGCTAGTGCCATGTGAGATGCAAATGAACAAATATGCAAAAGGAAACATTAAAGAAACAAGAGGCAAAATACAAAAAGTGCATGACAAGGCAATGGAATGTCATCCTTTGAAACAAACTCTGTGAGCTCAGGCTAAACAAACCTTAGACAAACCTGTAAAAGTAAGAGCAATTTACAGTAAAGGAAAAGCTTGAGACTTACATTCCTAATGTGGTCCTGCTTATTTTTTACATATTCATATGCTATCTTGACTCATGAAGGATAATTAGTTTCATGAAAAATAACTGGCTCACTTAGCTTTAATGGCTTCTCTTTGCTTCCCCTCTATGGTCCTCTTTAATCAAACATAGAAGCCATGGCAACTCTTAGAATCATAGAATATTAGAGTTGGAAGTAACTCAAGGGTCATCTAATCCAACCCCCTGCAATGCAGGAATCTCAGCTAAAGCATCCATATCAGAAAGCCATCCAACCCCTGCCCAAAAACCTCTGAGGAAGGAGAGTCCACCACCTCCAAGAGAGACCGTTCCACTGTCAAACAGAGCTTACAGTCAAAAAGTTGTTCCGTTATGTCCTATTGGAATCTCCTTTCCTGCAACTTGAAGTCATTGGTTTGAGTCCTGCCCTCCAGAGCAGGAGAAAACAAACATGTTCCCTCTTCTATGTGAAAGTCCTTAAGATATTTGAATGCAGCTATCATATCTCCTCTCAGCCTCCTCTTTTCCAGGCTAAACATACTCAAGTCCTTCAGCCATTCCTCATAAGGCTTGACTCCTAGACCCTTGATCATCCTAGTTGACCTCTTCTGCCCACGTTCCAGCTTGTCAACATGCTTCTTAAACTGTGGTGCCCAGAACTGGACACAGTATTCCTGGTGTGGTCTGACCAAGACAGAATAGAGTGGCACTATTATCTCCCTTGATCTGGACACTATACAACATATGAACAGATAGCTTATTGACGTTGACTGTTTATGGACATATATTATGATGTTTGGAAAGGATTCATAAAAGGATAGTATGTTATAAACAATTGTATATATATTAGAATCATCATTTATATATCACTGTATTATATATGTATGTATAGAATTATAGTTTTCCCCTTGTTTTTATGAACCCCTTTTTCTTTTTACTTTGTTTAACTGAAATATTTTCAATAAAAAAGAAAAAATATTTTAAAAAGGCTCTATATGAACTGACCCTTCTATAATTTCCCCTTCCTTATGTTGTCCCTCTGCTTCCTTCACAATTGGTATTTGTGTTGTGATTGGATTGTTTTATTTTAAAAAAATCATTTCTGAAGTGGAGGTTTTGAAGAGTACAGGGCAGAGAACAATTCTTAAATGTCTTCACACATTTTGGCATCCAGGAGTGGGACCTTTGTTCTAAGTTTTTCTGTCTGGCCACACACACTCTGGAATGATCTTTTCTTGTAATGTGCTTTCAGTCTTAATCTAGGCACATAAGATTCCTGCATTTCTTGTGGTTGTACTCGATGGCCCTTGTGGTCCCTTCCAATTCAACGATTCTGTGATTCACTAGTATTGTATCTAGGAAGGTAAAGGTAAAGTACCCCTGGATGGTTAAGTCTGTCAAAGGTAACTATGGGGTGCAGAACTCATCTCAGTTTCAGGCTGAGGGAGCCGGTGTTTGGCCACAGACAGCTTTCTGGGTCATGTGGCCAGCAGGACTAAACCACTTCTGGCACAACAGAACACCATTTCCATGCACCTTCCCACTGCAGCAGTACCTATTTTTCTATTTGCACTGGTATGCTTTTGAACTGTTAGGTTGGCAGAAGCTGAGACAGAGCAACGGGAGCTCGCTCCATCATGGGGATTCAAATCGTCGACCTTCAGATCAGAAATCCCAAGAGGGTTAGTGGTTTAGACCACGATGAAATACAGGGAATGCAGTATAAAAATGCAGAACCAACTAGAGGAGAAACAAATGGGAGGAGAATTATGATAATAATTCTAATATTTAAAAATGGAACATAGAAATAAGTCAGTAAATAGTTATGATTCTGCATTGTGTCATCATAAACACAAAATGAAATGTGCTGCTGTTGTCAAACTATATTTATTCTCCAAAGATTGTACTTCTATTTGGGATAAATCTGCACACATTTCTCACTTAAGAAAAGTGAGCTGATGATATCAGGAGAAGGATTGCATCTTCAAGATATGAGTTTATGCCACAAAGCATATCTTTTATCATGGACAAGCAACAGGCAGGTTTCTTCTACTACAAATACCTCAGCAATCTATTTAGACATCTGTAGGGTTTATAGCAACTAACTTTAGAGCTTAATTTTATACAGAAGAACTGATGGCTATTATAGGTCTAATGTGAGCTAAAAATGTTCATTGCAATTGTGTGTGAGCTTTTTCCTTTTTAACAAAATTTGTTCTTTTTTCTTATATGTGATAGTTTAATGAATAAATAAGGATGAGAACATATACAATTAAATAAAACTGCTACAAGATACATATTCTAAAAGCGGTTAAAAAAATGCAATCAGGGCATAACCTAAAGCAAAAGCAAAAGCAACCCATTCCAAAGACTCTGTCACCATTTTTTGAAAGCAAACAACGAAATATGGTATATTGTTAAACTCCTTAGCCCCGTGAAACTGTGTCATTTCTCTGTTTCCTGTGTCAGAGAAAAGTTATAACCAAGGCAAGTACAAAGTACTAGATTTGGGATTTTGTTGGGGGTGACGACACTAACCTCTTCTGTTCTTTACTAGGTCAGTTATGGTTTTGTTTCTGAAACTCTTAATGACAAAACTCAGTTCCCTTTTATCTACCGAATGGTCCCCAAAGAGGAACATCAGTATCTGCGAATAGTCCAACTGCTCCTGCACTTCAACTGGACTTGGATTGGCCTCGTTGCTCCAGACACAAACAATGGAGAGAGGTTCATGAGGACCTTTAGGCCTCTGCTAACCAGGAACACAATCTGTGCTGCCTTCTCTCTTAGCATCCCAATACAGAAGTCGGAATTACAGTCGCTTTCTAAAATATCTTTCATGTGGAAGAAAGTCAATGTATTAGTCTACTATGGAGAGATGCGCTACTTCTTTAGTATAATACGTATTTTGCAAAGATTTGTTGAAAAGCATATAAGACCAATTGTGGCGAAAGTCTGGCTCACAACAGCTTTGTGGGATCTCACCTTGAATTTGTCTTATGATCTGCTTTCTCCCCTGCACATCCATGGGTTTTTTTCTTTCTTAACTCGTATTAAAAGAAGGCCAAACTATGATAATTATGAAATATTTCACATTCCTATGCTGAAGTTTGGACAGAAATCATTTAAGTGTTCATATTCAAAGCACATGTTGTCTGTAAAAGGAAGGAGAAGGTGCAGGGAAGATGACACTCTGGAGTCCCCACCTGACAAAGTGATTGAGAAAACCCTGTCTCTGGATAGTTACAGTATTTACAACCTTGTCCTTGCTCTGGCAGGGGCCTTGAGGGCTGCACTTTCCTCCAAATCCAATCAGATGGTGGCGAAGGGTAAAAAGAGGCTGAAATATCAAAGGATACAGTCTTGGCAGGTATTGCTGTTTTCCTCACAGGCTGAACAAGCATCGGTGCTGTGTATTCCATTCAGACTTGACTTTACTTTGCCTCCATTTGCAGTGGTACCTCTGGTTAATAACTTAATTCGTTCTAGAGGTCCATTCTTAACCTAAAACTGCTCTTAACCTGACGTACCACCAGTGGGGCCTCCCACTGCTGTCGCGCTACCACCGGGCGATTTCTGTTCTCATCCTGAAGAAAAGTTCTTAACCCGAGGTACTATTTCTGGGTTAGCGGAGTCTGTAACCTGAAGCATCTGTAACCCGAGGTACCACTGTACTGTACTGTTACCCATATCTTAATTTTGCTGCTGAGAAGACAATCTGCCTCCACTTTACCACCTGATTCCTTAGCAAGGCTTCATGCTATTACCAGCCAAGGAAACTAATCCTTGCAGAATTCTTCTGAGGGTGCGGAATAAAGCTTATGTATGTCATGGCTTTAGTCTGTCCCAAAAGGCTGAAGCAGAAACAATGGGCCACAGATCCATTGTCCAAACAGACACACAGTGTCAGTCTGTACAAAGATCTTCGGCAATTAGGCTATGTTATCTAGATAATTTTATTCTTTTCTAAATGTGCATGCTTTCTTTCCTGTTCTAGATTCACCCATTCCTGGGAAGCTCCCAGTTTTACAATACTTCCATGGAAGGAGTGTATTTGGATGAGAATGGGCAGCTGACAGTCGAATCTGACACTGTGAACTGGGTGCCATTTCCCAACAAGTCCTTTGGTGCCGTGAAATTTGGGAGCATAAGCAGACAGGGATTCTCAGGCCCAAAATTCACCATTGACGAAAAAGCTCTTGTGTGGTCCAGACTGCTAAACCAGGTTTGGAAAACCCATTCATTGAGTTGTATTCCCTTTTAGAGATATGTTGAGCTCTGCTATTCTGTTGGGAGAAACAATAATACACCTTATACCTATCCAAGTAATAAGCTAAAACTATACAGCAGAGAAGATGAATGGAGGAAAGTCAAAATAAGAATCATGAAAATGGAAAAGCAGGTTAGAATATGACTGGGGCATGGCTTTTGCAGTAGTCAGGAAGCATGCCAGACTTCAGAATTGAGCACAACATGGCTGCTCCAAATACCTTTCTGTTTCAGCTTGTTTCTTTCTCTGGATTTTGATATTTGTAAATGGTTTCCATGATTGCAGATTTGTACTGTGTTTACTAGACCTTTGTAATAATGACAGACAGCTCTGACTCCTAAACCCAAGGCCAATACAGTCTCCATGTAATTCTTTCTTCTTGATTATCTCTTTCTGCCCCAACTGTGTCCCAAGGTCTATGACCCTCTGTTTTGTCCCATGGATCAAAAAAAGCATCCACAACAAATCCGTGTCTATTCCACACAGACTGAGACTGTACACTGGCCCAGATGTTACTTGGCAACAGTCTTTCATTGATGCTTTTTTCTCTTTTTGGTCAGACCCTTCCTCAGTCCAGGTGTACCAAAAGCTGTTGCCCTGGATATGCCAAGAAGGTTCAGGAAGGGAAACCCATTTGCTGCCATAGTTGTGCTCCATGTGCAGAAGGGATGATCTCCACTCAGGAAGGTAGGAGACTTCAGAGGAATGTGCAGCAAAAAGAACAATAAAATATGTCCTTTGTTGATGAAGGTTACGGTACAATCTTATTTTGAATTTAATAAAGTTTCAACAGTGATTTACTCAGTCTTAATAAAGCTTTCCAGGTACCACTGAAACAGCCTTGAGTATGTCAGAATTAGGCAGCGTTGCTGCATCTGGTAGCCTCCCTTGACCAGTCAGTGTGGCAAAGTAGCTAGGGTGTTTGGTTTGTACTGGGAAGACCAGAGTTCCAGTCCATGCTCCTCCGAGGATTTTTTTTTGTAAATTATGCCTATCTGACAACACCTGGTGTTAGGGGTGAGATCAAATGTAGCTGCAATTAACAACTCGGAGCTTCGTGATCACTGCAGGCTCTTCCTTGCGGGGTGAATAAGGGGGTATCTGCAATAGGGAACTGCACAGAAAGGACCAACTCTTTGGGTGGATTAGCAGAAAGAGCAAGTCCCATCACTGTTTCCATTTGTAGGAGTTGGCTGGGTGCCAAATAATTTGCTTTTTTTGCTAATCTGCAGGAAAATGTTCAAGCAGACACTCTTTTTCCCCCAGATGCAGACCACTGCACCAAATGTCCAGAAGATCAACACCCTAACAAGGACAGAGATCAATGCATCCCCAAGATTATCACCTTCCTGTCCCATGATGAATATCTGGGGACCCTCTTGGCTTCCACTGCCCTGTTTTTGGCCTTAATCACAGGCCTTGTTTTAGGAATATTCATTAAATATCTTGACACTCCCATAGTCAAAGCCAACAACAGGGACCTTTCCTACATCCTCCTTGTCTCCCTCCTCCTTTGCTTTTTGTCCTCCTTTCTCTTTATAGGCCAGCCAAGGAAAGTGACCTGCCTTCTAAGGCAGACAGCCTTTGGCATCATCTTCTCAGTTGCTGTCTCTTCTTTGTTAGCAAAAACTATTACCGTTGTGCTGGCCTTCCTGGCCACTAAGCCAGGAAACAGGGTGAGGAGATGGCTGGGAAAGAGTCTGGCCAACTCCATTGTCATGTCCTGTTCCAGTATCCAAATTCTCATCTGTGTCATCTGGCTGGGCATCTCTCCCCCATTCCCAGACTCTGACATGCGCTCCCAGCCTAAAGAGATCATCCTGCAATGCAACGAAGGATCTGTTGCCATGTTTTACATTGCCCTTGGCTACATGGGCTTCCTAGCTGCCATCTGCTTCACGGTGGCTTTCCTAGCCAGGAAGCTGCCTGGGGCCTTCAATGAAGCCAAGCTGATCACCTTCAGCATGCTGGTCTTCTGCAGTGTTTGGGTCTCCTTTGTGCCCACCTACCTGAGCACCAAGGGGAAATACATGGTAGCCGTGCAGATCTTCTCTATGCTGGCCTCCAGTGCTGGGCTTCTGGGCTGCATCTTCCTTCCCAAGTGCTACATTATTGTACTCAGGCCTAGTCTGAATACAAAGGAGCACCTGACTACAAAGACTTAATATGGCACCTGATTCCTAAAATATGTTTTTGGTTTTTGCAATTGATAGCCAGCATGGTAGCAATAAAGGCAGGACACATGAGTTGGGAATGTAGCTCCTTAAAAGCTATTGTTTTGGAAATCAGAACGCAAAATAATCATTTAAATCACATTCCATCCTTAGTACTGTTCATTTCTGTTCATTTCTTACCTGATTTAGGAATTCGTTTCTGAATACTGTTTATATATTTTGCCTAATAAGAAATCCTTATCACAATTCAATAATAATGAATGCTGTTCATTAAGAGAATCTTTTTTAAAGATAGCATTACAAATAAATTGCTTATGCATTGTTTTTCAAAATGAAAAGAAACATATTCCATTGGTATCTCTTGGTATCCAGAAGTCCTGGTGTGCTGAAGGTGGCGGGTGTTCATTTTTCTCCTGCTAAACCTTATTGATGAATTCTTTTCTGAAGACTGTTTTATATTTTTCCTAATAAGAAATCAATATCGCAATTCAATAATAATGAATCTGTTCATTAAGAAAACAAAAATTTCTTAGATAGTTTTACAAACAATTTGCTTTTGCATTGTTTTTCAAAATGAAAAGAACCATATTCCATTGGTATCTCTTTATTTCCTGCTGTGCATATCAGGAGAGTCACCTTGAATTTTGGTGCCATGGGTGTTTTTCATGTGGTGCAAGGTGCAAAACATATTTAAAGCAGTTGACACAGAATAGGCATGAGTCATGCCCAAGATATGCTGGATAATTTCAAAATATGCAAAGAGATATTAGGAAGTTATTAAAATTGGTTTGTACCTTTCAAATCAGTTTGTCTATTACTTTTTTTGCTTTGCCGGCTGTCTGTGGATACCCCTGTTAGAACATTGTTACACAACATTATCCTTGCAGTTCGAGCATAACTAAGCATTATATCCCCTCTAGACTGGTTCTAGACACATCAAAAAGGTGTTTCAGGAAAACATGTTGTAAACATCAAAATGGGAAATCACGTTGGCAAAAGCTGGAACTCCACAGCACCATCTAGTGTCACCATGTTATAACACATTTAAAATGTCTGACAACAGAGACATCCAGCCCTTGCAGCCCAGCAGTGCCCACAGCAGCTTCCTCTTGCACTGGCCCTTTCTGAACCAATCATGCTGAGAAGGGAGCCAACCAGATTTGTGTTTGGGTTCCTTGTGAGGTTATCTGGTGAGTCAACAAGTGAAATGGGATTGAGGATTGGAGTGATCATTCTGTGATATTATGGCAGTGGAGAGAACTGTATTGTAACTTTTGAATAATATAAAGGTAAAGGGATCCCTGACCATTAGGTCCAGTTGTGACTGACTCTGGGGTTGTGGCGCTCATCTCGCTTTATTGGCTGAGGGAGCCGGCGTACAGCTTCCGGGTCATGTGAGCAGCATGACTAAGCCGCTTCTGGTGAACCAGAGCAGTGCACAGAAACGCCGTTTACCTTCCCGCCGGAGTGGTACCTATTTATCTACTTGCACTTTGATGTGATTTCAAACTGCAAGGTTGGCAGGAGCTGGGACTGAGCAACAAGAGCTCACCCTGTTGCAGGGATTCGAACCCCCGACCTTCTATTGGCAAGTCCTAGACACTGTTGTTTAACCCACAGCGCCACCAACGTCCCTTTGAATAATATATATATGATAATAATAAAACAACAACAACAACAACACAACAACAGAAGGGAGCAATTATATATATATAATGATATGCAATTTTACAATGAACTGATGAAATATGAGGCTATTTCTTTGGACCATTAACACACAGAGGATCAAAGTGTGGGAAATGTTGGGTCTCTGCTTGTTGTTGTTTAGTCGTTTAGTCGTGTCCGACTCTTCGTGACCCCATGGACCAGAGCACGCCAGGCACTCCTGTCTTCCACTGCCTCCCACAGTTTGGTCAAACTCATGCTGGTAGCTCGAGAACAGTGTCCAACCATGGGTCTCTGCACCCAAGTCCAAAAACATCAGGAGCATTGGAGATCCCTGGTCCACAATGATTGCGTGTGGCTCTCCAGACTTCCAGGCAGGAGCCCTTTTCCAGCCGTACCTGGAAATTATGGGGATGAAACACGGAGTGTTCTGCATGCAAATCATGCACTCTAAGAGTCTAAGCCCAGAGCCATGGTCCCTCCCCAAATGTTCATTCAGTATTTCATTTCTCTTCATTTCTCCTTTCGAGCCAGATATATGGAGAAACGTGACTCAAAGAAGTAGGAGGCCTAGGGTTCGCTCTGATTGTTTAGAAATACACAATCGCTTTGAGGTCCTCTCCCCTAGCATGGAAGACGAAGAGCAGACTCCATTTGAGGATCTCTCCCTCAATACAGTCGATCAGGTATATGAAGACGAGCAGCAAAGTCAGTCCTCAGGGAATGTGCAGGCGACCTTGGAACGGACAGCTCACGGAAGGACCCCGAACAAACCTAAGAGGAGGCGTGTAGTGGTGATAGGGGATTCCCTACTGAGGGGAACAGAAGCAGTGATCTGTGGGCCTGACAAGATGTCTCGGGAAGTGTGCTGTCTCCCTGGGGCTAAGATCCAAGATGTAACTGAACGACTGCAAGGAATCATAAAACCCACTGACAAATACCCCTTCCTCTTGGTTCATGTGGGAACCAATGACACTGCAAGCAATATGTCACCAATGGAAGCGAAAGCCTTGAGAAAGGTCAATATGGAGGTCAAATGGCCGAAATATTGGGAAATTTTGGAACAAGACGGAGACAGACTGA